GTCGCTTAGACTTTTTTTCTTTCCTAACTTCTACACCCTTTCTGAACTTCCTAGCTCATCTACGGTTAGGCTTTATTTCCAATGTTCACTTCTGATTCTTGCAAAGGGGTTTCTGGGCAAAAGAAGTGTACAGCCTAGTTCATAAAAATAGAAACTGAGACAGTGTGTTTAACTTGAAGATCCTAGCCTAGCCAGTCATAACAGCAGAAATGTGGCAGCCTGTGAGGGAGGAGTTCTAGAAGTATCTTGCCTAACACTGCGCTAAGCTAAGCAGCACTGTGAACCATCTCAGTAAAAGGCAAACTGCCATAACTAACTAGCATGTGTTCATCAAACTTACAAAATGTCAAAGACCTGCAGAGAGAACTGGATACAGGGATATGTTTCTCAAAGGCAGCCTCTCAACTGTATGTGGTGGCTCTGCACACATCTGTGGACTCAAAGGCAGTCTGTTGACACAGTAGGTATGATCCCTTCTTCCCAGTCAGAAGGCCATGAAACCCCTGCACACCCCTGGCACTGCCAAGAACTCAGGACACACTTGGCTTCAGTACTGTCCCTCAGGCCATGCCATTCATCCAAGGGATCCTGTGATACTGACACTTCCTGTCAAACAGAGCCTGGACCAGGGGATATCTCAGCAGAGGGAAGCAGGGTTGTGGGGTCTTTAAAGCACTCTGGGTCTAATTTACACAATAAAGCTCATTAGATCCCACAGGCTCAGTGCCTGCCCCCACCCCATGTGACAGAGGTTGGAAGATGAGGGACTTCAGCAAGGCATTCACCTGTACAGGTTTCCTAAGGATTTACTCAGGTCCCCTTCCCAGCCTCCATGTCACCAGGTGCTATGTGGTCTCACAAGTCTGGCTGTGACATGGTTGTCACTGTGATGTTATCAGGAGGTCACAAGATGCTATCCCTTCTTGTGGACCTATACATGGTCCCCCCCCACTTCCTCACTAGTGATGCTCTCCCACATGATACTGCAAGACGGCCGATTCCTGAACGTAAGGCCCCATCGCTCAGCCTCAAGGACCTGGAAAGGTAACCTGAGGATACCCTGTCTATGGGGTTCCCGGTGCCCTCTAACCCAGCTGGGGACAGCCTCCATACGGTCTCGCTCTTTATAAATTACATCTCTGGGGAATTCTGTCATCTTACCAGCAAACAGTCTAAGTCAGAAACCTTTCCCCCAACGACAAATTCCTACCTACTGTTTAAGGTCTGTCCTAACACGGCTCTCCTTGCAAGTTCACAACAGAAAGTACCACACACTGAAAGGATGCCTCCCCACTTTCCCCCGGAAACTTTTCCTATTGCACCTCTTCTGGCAGCATCTATGGACACCCAGACTCACACACTGAAACAAAAGGACTTTGCCTGGAGGTCACCCATGTGACCTTCTCTTTCCTCCCACTGTGTAAGTCCTGGGAAAACTGCTGGCTTCCTCACCTCCTAGGGCAGTGGTTCTCAATCTTTCTAATGCTGCGACCTTTAATACAGTTGCTCATGTTGTGGTGACCCCCAACCATAAAATTACTATGTTGCTACTTCATAACTGTAATTTTGCTACTGTTATGAATCATAATGTAAATATCTTATGCAGAATAAGAGGGTTGAAACCCACCGGTTGAGAGCTACTTCTATGGGCTCTGGAATGGGCGAACCAGCTGCACAGCACACAGCTCCACAGGTCTCTCTCTGTTGCCTACATCCCCCCTCCATCAGTACCTCCGAGTCCCCCCTCCACCCCAGATCCTGCTTTGCTTCCCTCACTGTGACATCTGTATGTCTGTACCTCTGTCCGCATGCAGTGGCCCTGCAGTGTCTCCTTGGCCATCCCCCTCCCCCTAGATTTGGCACAAAGTAGAAAGCCACCTCTAAGCCAGGATCCTGGTGCAGCTCTAGATCTGGACCCACCTCTGAAGCTACCTAATGCCTGGCACCAGGCCCAGCACTCTCTCTGCCAACATCCCCACAAAAGTGCTTTTACCATTCTCCATTCCCTGTACTTCAATACCAGCTTACCTGACCAGGCCTGGTTTAAAGAACAGCAAGATATGAAAGTACCACTGACCTCTAAAACAGATCCTGATGTCACTCTTGTAAATACAGCTATTAAAATTTAAATCCCATGATGGGAAGGCCTCAGTCACCTCCAACTCACAGGAATCAACTTCTCTTTAAGCATCAGCAAGCTGACCCCGCCTCTTCTCTGTACCCTCCTGCCTCCTTCCCTGGAGATCCTAAACCGTCCATTACACACTGCTGCCTGCAATTGCTCTCCTGACGCCCCTGTCGTAACTTCTCGCAACACAAGTATGTCTATCCATTGAATCAGACATGACTTCACAGGACCACAGGCTGCGTTCATTTCTTCTGAGTGAGCTGTGGCAGCCTTCACTGAACTGTCACTGAGCACCAAAAAAAGTCTAGTTTTGAGAAGCTGGTTCAAGGAAGTACACAGGGCATTTATCCTGCTGAGGATAGATGACCACTATGGCTCTTCTCCTGGGAGACGAGAACAGAGTTACACAGGTGAGGAGATGGAGCAGGAGACTGGAAACAACAGGGCCTCATGCCTACCCTTCTGAGTTAAGAGGTGAAATTGCCAGTTAGGGAGGGCTTCAAGTTGTGGAGAGTGGCCACCCACGGTGACTTTGTACTAGTCAGCCAGGTCCCACCCATGCCCATGGCCTCTCTGAAGGGCAGCTGAGGATGCCTAGATGGTAGGTCAGCTGGTGCCTCCAGGACAGCAGCCATGTGCATTTTAGTGACATCCTTCATGGCTGGATCACTTTCTCAGTGTTTCTGCCTATTTTGGGTGTAGTCTACTGGCCTGAACTTGTGTGATGCCCTGGCTCTGCAAGGTGGCGGCCACAGATTCAGCTCTAAGGAGAAGGACCTTGTGCCATCCCTGATCAAAGCTCTCTATCTTCCTGCTGCTTTCCCACCCTGATCCATTGGCCTTCCCCAGCTTGAGATCTCAACTATGTGCCCACCCGGGCCTCTGTACACTATCTGCATGTCTACATGAGCCCACTCTGCTCTCCAGAGGCTAGACTGCCTCAAAGCACTGGTCTCTCACTCAACCACCACTTCCTAGACAGATGGTTCTTGTCCCAGTTCTGAGTGTGCCAACCTCTGCACACCCAGCCGCCTTCCTCCTTCATGTCCTTACCACTCCTAACCAGTGTTACCTATGGTCTACATGGCCTCTTGCACCTCTTCCATTGCTCCCTGGGTACATGAAACATTTACCACAGAAATGGCCTGGTAAATGAACCTGGGTAAGGTACTCTGAACAAGTATCAGCCTGCAGATGATAAACTGAGTCTGGATAGCCTTTTAAGCCACAGCTGGTGACCAGATTTAAGCTCCATCACACCTGCAAAATGCAGCAGTGTCTTCCCTGCCTTCTGCACAGATAACCATACAGAGGGGAAAATGACAGGAGGATATAGGAACAAAGGTAATTCTCAAAGGTAATCACACTAAGATAGCCATTGTTTTTAGACAGGGTCTCACTATGAGGCCCAGGCTTCCCTGCATCTCAAGATCCTCCTATCTCAGCCTCCTGGGTGCTGGGATCAGAGCACTTGCCATCAGCCTAGCTGTGGTTATGTTTTAATTTACTCATTTGTCTCCTGGAGAAATAAACTACCCTGTCTGCTCCCCAAAGAGAACAATTAGTATATTCTTTGCTGACATTTGTGTAAAAACATGAATCACAGAAGTAAAAGAAAAAAAAGTAAGGAGAAAACTTAACACTTTTCCCTTAAATAATCTGATCTATAGGTTTTATTTCAGATTAAGACAGTGATTTCAGGGGAAGTCTGAGAAAGAGGTTGCAGCAGGTAAGATGTGGAAAGCCTATAGGTTTGAATCAAAATATGGTCAGGGTGTGTAGGGGATCATATCTCAGCAACTACATCATTGCTGTCTCCAGGGAGTACTGTCCCTGCCACCTCTGAGAGGTTCCCACAGAGTCAGAGACTTCTTCAGGCTTTACCCTTAAATCGCCTTCTGGCCAGTAGGGTTCTGCACTAGCACCTCCATTTGAGGGTTCTGACTGGCTCTAGCATATGTTTTTGAAAGAAGCGTTGGCAGCTTTAAATTCAGGCACCGGTCCACGTGTCTTCAGTTCACACACTTGCTTCTACCATTTTAATCCACCTCAGAGGAGGGGACGCTTGTGAGCATGTGTGAAGAGGCTTTCCATCCACTGCAAGAAGGGCTCGGCTGGACAAGCTGCCCACCACGAGCTGGTGTTTTAACTCTGACCTCTCAAAACTCACCTCTGGAGCACTCAGGCTCCACCTGACCCTGGGCCCCTCCTGTCCACCCTCTTCCCAAATAGGAGGCGGGCACGTCTCCAGCCTTTCTTTCCACTGTGATTCCTAGGCCACCAAAAGGTAGCGACAAGTAAAACGCCTGGGCCTCGGAGCCGTGGCGCAGCCTCGGACTTTCTTAAACGCCAAAGGGGCTGGAGACCAAGGCCCCTCCCTGGGCTGCGCCCGAAAACCGGGTAAGGCGGCCGGGTGGCTGGGAAGGGACTGGAGGGAGCTGAGCCCGCAGCCACGCCGGGCCTGACTTTTGGCGCAACGGGGGCGCATCGCCCAAGCCTGGGCCGGGCGGGGGGCGCCGAGCCAGCGAGTGGGCGGCTGGGCGCGGGCTGGCGTGGGCCGGGCTCGTGGCGGGCAGTTGGCGCGGGCCGTGCGCGCGGGACCGAGGTCGGGCACCCAGGGCGGAGGCCAAGCCCGCGGCGGCGGAACCCGGCGGGCGCAGGGCGATCCCGGAGCGGCTCCGGAATCCAGCCGGGTTTTGACTCCGATCGCCCACGGCGCCCGCGACTGTAACAAAGAACAGGCGGCGCGGCGGCCGGACCGGGGCGGGCGCGGGGGGCGCGGGTGAAGGCCGAGCCGGGGCCGGGCGTGGGGCGTGGGTCGCGGCGGGAGGCACGCGGTGGGGCCGCGGCGGGCACGGGCCCGGGGCTTTACCTGCCTGTGGAATGTGCAGAGCGGGGTCGGATCCGGACTCCGGGTTGCGATCCGCTCCGGAAACTGCGCAGCACCGGAAGCCGGGGGGGTGGTGGCGCGGCATCGTGGGAGTTGTAGTGCGCAGCGCGGGCAGACGGGGCGGGCCTAGGGCTCCGGCTGCTGGGACCCGGAGCTAGAGACTACCTCCTTCAAGAGAATCAGGGATAATTGGCGGCTTAGTAGGGGAACCTGGGACGGACTGTGTCTCGGAGTAGTAGCTGGCAGGGATTTTGTGGACAGTGAGACTAGGAAACGACTGCGTGTATTGAAGCACCCGGGGACAGAGATGCGTGGTTGCAGAGATGGAGGATGATTGCCTTCCTGCATGGGGAGCGGGTAACTAACTGGCCGTGCGGATGGGGAACAGGAGAGGCAATAAAGTATGGAGAGTTCGTGGAGCAGGCTATGAGGATCCTGGGGAAGGGACTGAGTAGACGGGAAAGCTGGGGAGAGGGGTTTGTGTGATCTATGAGAGTTGGCCAGACAGTGTTTGGACTGAGGAGCTAGGCAGACAGGCTGTGTGTGAATAAGGGAGTGATGTGAGTGGGTAGACACAGAGCATCTTTGACCTTCAAGACACCTTTAAAACAACCCCAGCATCCCATACACCACTTTCATTGATTTTACTCATTCCAAAGTGCCCAGAGGGTCAGTTCTCTGGGCCTCTACACATGAATAGGACTAAATAAAACCAGACTGTTTACAGGAGGGAAAAGTGACCGGTCACAGCAAGAAAAGCCAGTGTAAATTTGGGGCTAAGGAAGACATGGAAGTGGAATGGATTATTGACTACTAGGCTATGAACTTTGCCTTGGAGCAAAGTTATGAAAGCAAAATTACTTGAAAGACTTTCCACTTTGAAGAGAGCTCTCACTGTCAGGGCCCCCTGCTCCTACCCTCCACCTTAACTCTCAGGAAGTTGTGACCTCATGATTGTTTTCATCATATTTAGCTGCCTAGGCACTCAGGTCACTGTCAGTGGTGACCCAAGAAGCCAGCTTTTTATTATTATTATTTATTTTAATTAATTAATTTATTTATTTGAGCTGGCAAGAGTCCTTGGTGGTATCCACATGATACTGGTTTTGCACACATGCAAGATACAAAAGTTATGTATGGAGACCAAATGATATGTCGTAGGATCAAAATAATTGTGGGGAGCCCCTGAGTGAATGATTAATATTTGAAGCCAGCAGAGTAAAAGCTGAAGGGGCTGGGAAGTTAGAGATGCCCAGAGTGTGGGAATACCTGCTAAAATAGCTACATTCAGCAAGTTAAACCCAGAGAGCAACACAGCTGTGTAAGCCCATTGGGGCTCACATAGCTCCACAATGGGATATAGAAGCATGGATCTACAGAACTTCATGTCTATTCTGCTGAGCTTTGGTCTTGGTTTGATCCCATCTTTGCTTTCTCTGCATCCATTCCTCTGGAATGGGATTACAGCTAAGACTTTGCATTTGAATCTTAGAAGAAACTTTAAACCTAAACTAAGATATCTGGGACTCCCACGGTTGACTAAATGTATTTTCCATTAATAAGATGCCCAATACCCTTTGGGGTTCAGAGATAGGACATTAAGGATTAAATACTATATTAGTTACTTTTCTATTGTTTGATAAAACACCATGGCCAAAACCAACTTAGGGAGAGTTTATAACTCTCAGATCACACTGGATCGCTGAGGAAGTCAGGGTTGGAACCTGGAGACAGGAGCTAAAGCAGAAGCTATGGAGAAATGCTGCCTAGTGGCTTGCTCCTCATGGCTTATACCACTCAGGACCATCTACCCAGGGATGGCCTGGCCCACAATAGCCTAAGGCAACAGTTCTCAACCTGTGGGTTACAAACCCTTTGGGGTCAAACAACCCTTTCACAGGGGTTGCCCAAAACTATCAAAAACCACAAATATTTACATTACGATTCATAATAGCAGCAACATTACAGTTAGGAAGTAGCAATGAAAATAATTTTATGGTTGGGGGGGGTCACCACAACATGAACTGTGTTAAAGGGTCACAGCATTAGGAAGGTTGAGAACCACTGGACCAAAGCCTTCCACATCAACCACTGATTAAGAAAATCTCCACAAACTTATCTACAGGTAAATCTTATGAAGACATTTTCTCAGTTGTGGTTTCCTCTTCTCAGATAACTCTAGCTTGTGTCAAGTGAACAAAAATACCAACCAAGACAAACATGAGTTGCCCTCCCAGGTTCCTGTGCCAAATGCCTGGTGCCAAGTTGACGATGCCATTTTTAGGAGATAGTGGGGACTTAGGGATGTGGGGCCTAACTAGAGGTGTGCCTCTGAAGGTTATACCTGGTCCCAGGTTTCTTCCTATGTTTCATGTTGAACATGAGGTGACCTCTCCCATAAGCTCCCATGATATACTACCCTCAACACTGGCCCAGAAACAAGTGACCATGGATGGAACCTGTATGAGTAAGCCCAAAACATCACTCGTCCCTTTTCTCGTTTTCCCCTGCTACCCTCCCCCCCCCACACACAGTATCTTTGTTAGGCATTTTGTCACAGTAACAAAGGCTAACACAACACCCGAAACATATGTTTTCCCAGAAACATACCTCCTCAGTTCTGGTTTTTGTGTTAATATAAATGTAAAACTCTTAGTTGGATGTGGTGGCACGCGCCTTTAATCTCAGCACTTGAGAGGCAGAGGCGGGTAGGTCTCTATGAGTTCAAGGTCAGCCTGGTCTACAGAGTGAGTTCCAGGACAGCCAAGGTTGATACACAGAGAAACCTTGTCTCAAAAAATCAAACATGCATACATGTATATGTGTGTATATGTATGTATGTATATATATATATATATATATATATATATATATATATATATATCCTTCATTGCAAGGCATTACAATCATCCCAGCCACCTCTCTGACCAGGGGCTGTGGAGATGACTCTGGGGAAGTGCTTGCTGTGCAAACATGGGGCAGAAGTTTGAATCCCAGCACCCATGTAAAAACACACAAACAAGGCTCTGCATGCCTGCAGCCCCAGCACTAGAGCCGTGTATGGGGCAGGATGGAGACAGGAACACTGGGGCTTCTTGTCCATCCCAGGACTAGGTTCAATAAGACCCTGTCTCAAGGGAATAAGGTAGAAAGTGATAGCGGACATCGGCATGCTCTTTTGGCCTCCATGAACACAAGCAAGAACACGTGTGTAGACACACACACACCAGGATACTTCTTTACAGATAAAGAGGGAAATCTAATCAAGAAGGTAATTCCAACTATGTGCACAGCATTGAGTTCCACTTGATAGCATCCATAGCTAAAAGGCAAGATTAGAGTGCAAGAAAAGCCAGATTAAACTAGTCCTTAATCTCTGCATTTAACCCAGGCAGAGTTGGGGAGTGGAGGCCATAGTATGTCAATAGCACCAACAGAGAGAGGCCACACTTTTGAATCTGTTACATTCAGGATGACTTGGAAATGTTCATTGTGGGCAGCCGTAGCACAGAGCTGTGCTGTGCAGTGGTCAGAGGATAAACCCGCAAGAGTCTGGCCTGGTGTCTTCTCTTCAAGGAGGTTACTATGTGGTTATTCACCTTGGTGTCGAGCCTGTGAGTCACCCTGCATGCTCCCTTTTTATGAAGCACTGGTTGATATATACCTAGAGCACCCTGCACTTGTAGGTATGTCTGACGTCCAAACAATATGTTACCTACATTCCCTCCAGCATCTAACTCAGTCCTGACATGAGGTGAATGGGACAGGATGGGTGGAAGCCGCTAGCTGATACCCATCCTCATGACAGTGATATTTTTGATGGGAAGAAAGATGAGTCACAGAAGTAGAGCCTGACAGATGGGGGACTAGCCATGGCAGGCAGCTGTCCTTGTGGGCCCTTGGTAGCCCTTCATGAAAAGTCAGAGCCTGAAGGTGTGAATTCTAAAGTGGCCAAGGGTAGCTGGTGTGGATTAACCCAGGCAGGGAAGATGGACTGTCAGGAACCCAGAATTCCTCTGGAGGTGCCAGCAGAGATCAGCCTGGACAGCTGGTAAATTCTGACAAGTCCTCTAGTCCTCTCTTCGAATGTAATCACAAAACAGACCTTAGTTTGAAAAAGTTTGGAGTATTTGAACCCTTGATCTCCAGTTGATGTTGCTGTTTGGGAAGGCCATGGAGCCTTTAAGACTGAGATTCTCAGCCTTCCTAATGCTGCAACCCTTTAATACAGTTCCTCATGTTATTGTGACCCCAGACATAAAATTGTTTTTGTTGCTACTTCATAACTAATTTTGCCATTTTTATGGATCATAATGTAAATATCTATGTTTTCTAGTGGTCTCAGGCAACCCCTGTGAAAGGGTCATTCAACCCCCGAAAGGGGTTTGACTAACACGTTGAGAACCACTGCTTTAAGAGGTACAGCCCTGCTGAAGGAAGTACTCCACTGGGCTTTCAGGGTTTATAGCCTTGCCTCACTTCCTGTTCAGATTTCTGTGTGAATAAAAATGTGATCGGCTAACTTCACACTCCTGCCCACGATGCCTTCCCCGCCATAATGGACTCTCATCCCTCTGGAACTATGAGCCAAAATAAACCCTTTCGTCCCTAAACTGCTTTTTGTCAAGGTATTTTTATTACAGCGACGACATCTCCACAATAGAAGCCCCCTTTGATGCAGAAAATGGATGGGGCTTGGCTCAGGAGTGGCTGGCTACCTTGCGTGCTGTCCCATAGGAAAGCAGGCTGAAGTAGAGCTGAAGAGTGAGGGCTTCTGAGAGTGTGACCTGTGGTTTCCCTGGTGGTTCCTCAGTGCAGCACAGCTCCAAAGACAATGCTTTTGTTTGTGCCTGTGGCCGGGCAAAGTGAAGGAGACCACAGAAACTGAAGAACACAAAGGGGATGAGATGCAGGGACAAGGCTGCCTCAATCCCACCCCAGAAACCATTGCCAGATCCTGTGCATGCATAAACACTGTCACATACCCATGGCTAAACTGTTACCTATTCCCTCCGCTCTCATCTGGGATACCGATAGCAGGGAC